GTCCGGGATCACTCCCCTTAATTGGTTTGACAATTTATCACATCCTTTATCTGTTTAATCTAACGATATTTATTATTTGTATTGAATTAATCCGCATATCCTTAAAACCACATATAAATTCAATTGTTATCCGTTTTTTAGGGTAAACAACTTTAATGTTACAAAAGTCTTTTTATGATTTCACTGAAATAATAGGTAGTTAAAGTTCAAGTCAGTTAAGTTTGACAAAAAATAATTTTGTGAGTTTATTGTTATGCTAAGTAAAATTTGGTGATGGTGAAATGAACCTTCAGATAGGGGTTTGTTTGTTTTATTCCATCACCTCTAATGTACTTTAGTAGGTAAATTAGTAGATGAACTCTTTGTTGCACCAAGGGGACTCTATAAGCTTCTTCTTTACATAAAGAAACATTACAAAAATCCCAAAATTTACATCACTGAGTGCGGTAAGGCAGTGATCAATTGAACATGTTATATGTTAATCATTTATTTAGTTACATATATTGACTAAGTTAAGAATCTCTGCGTATATCGGTTTTAATTTATTTTTTTTTGGATTGTCAATAGGAATGGGTGAGTCTAATATTACCGAAGTTGAAGAGGGTGTGAATGATATCCAGAGAGTGCATTTCTATAAACGCCACATCAAGGCTCTTTACGGAGCTTTTAAGTGAGTATAATTTATTTATTTTAATATTTTGATTATTAACCTTTTTGTATCTTTTAACTTTAAAAAAAATAATGCTCTTTTTAATTTGATTTTCTCTTTTATTGCAGAGAGGGGTTGAACGTTCACGGTTTCTTTGCATGGTCATTTTTCGACAACTTTGAATGGGGCTCGGGATACACCCAGAGGTTTGGCATCAACTTTATAGACTGCAAGAATAATCTCTAAAGATACCCCAAACGATCTATGATTACCCGTTTTAATGCCTTCTTTATGATTCTGCAACAAGTTTTATATATTATATCTAGGAAAAATACATAAGTTTCCTTAAATTATTACTTCCAAAAAAAAAACAATGGTGACAAATATTACCCGTCGCTAAATAAAAAATCTATGTTGCTAATCTTATTTAGTGATGGATTTGTGTTTGTCGATAACATGCTCGTAGCTAACTCTTTTGGGCAGGGGAAATTGAATCCATACAAAATTTGCAATTGAATATTAGCGACGATCATATTCATTGCCATATTTGGCGGCAGAACAATCCATCGCTATTTACATTAATTCTGTCCAAATTCAAAATTTATTTAGTCGTTATAATTAATTTGCGATGAAAATTTAGTCGCTAATCTGTCACAACTTTTATTTTATATGCTGGTTTTACCAACAAAAAATATCCGTTGCAAAATTGTGGAAGATTTCATTTCCTTATGAAATCTTTTATTCAATGTTTTAAATCCATTCTATTGAGATTATTCTATATTTATACACTGATGAGTCAGTATAGTTGTATTCTAGCTGTATTCCAGTTGTCAGCTTAGTCAGTTTAGTTGTATTCTTTGTTGCTTATGTGTATAAAGAGGACAATACTCAGTAATAGAGAGTTTTGAGTTTCATTTTCCAAATCAGAGACTCCTTACTGCTTATTTCTCTCTCTCTTCGAAATACGTATTCTAGAATATTCCGAATCCTCCATTGAAGGAGGAGTGGAGCTCACTCAGAGCTGATGATCTTGACATGGTATCAGAGACGATGTCTTCTTCATCGATCACGTCGTTGAATTCAATTTCTCTTCTTCCGTTTTCAATCACAAAGTAAACTAGGTTTTTTTTTTACAAACAAGCAATTTGGGGAAAAGTTCTGAATCGACACATCTACCAACAATTGCCAGTGAATAGAGGTTTCTGAGCTTAATTCCGGCTAGGCGAGCAGCAATCCAACTAATTCAATATTATCATGGCAATACAACTAATCCACTTTATATTCATCCATCTGACAGTCCAGGTTCTACCTTAGTACCTGTTCCTTTTGATGGAGTTGGCTATCGCTCCTGGAGAAGAGGGGTGTTAAGGTCCCTTTCAGTGAAAAATAATCTAGGTTTTATCAATGTAGAGTGTGTGAGACTTGATGTAACCTCTCCACAGTTTCGTCAATAGGAGAGGTGTGATGACATGGTTACTTCATGGATTCTGAACTCTTTAGCGAAGGACGTTGCAGACATCGTTGAGTATGTAAATAACTCCGTTGAATTATGGAAGAAATTGGAGGATCGATATGATCAGACGAATGGAGCTAAGTTGTATTAAATCCAGAAGGAGATTAACGATTTGAGTCAGGGAGTGCTTGACATTACAAGTTATTATACAAAAATGAAGAAACTCTAGGAAGAGTTGAAGACATTAAGTTCTAAAACTCACTTTAGTTGTGTGTGCACTTGTGGAGCAAAGGAAAACATGCACAAGGCAGAGCATGATAGAAGAATCATACAGTTTCTAATAGGACTCAACGAGGTTTACACAGTTATTCGAGGAAGCATTCTCGTGATGAACCCATTGCTTTCTATGGCACATGCATTTTCTTTGTTGATACGGGAGGAGAAGCAGAGAGAATTCAAGCCTAGAATTCAATTGAATTTTGATTCTTCTGCATTGAATGTCAATGTAGGGGGAATAACTTTTAAGACAAATTACTCACCTGGTGGGAAGCAGACTTCTAACAACAGGCCTAGGCCATTTTGTGACCATTGCAGACGACCAGGACATATCAAAGACAGATGCTACAAACTACATAGTAACCCTCAAGATTTTGGCCTTGGTACACAACAGTACAAGCAGAATTCAAAAGGGTATAACAACAGTAACAACAACATGAGGTACAACAAAGGGAAGAGCACTGTGGCAAATGCAGTTGCAAGTGTGCAGGGAATGTCATCAGACATGTTGTCAACTAAAGCAATTGAACCAGAACATCAGGGAGACAATCAGAACATGAGCCTTTCAAAAGAATAATATGGACAAATTCTCAGTTTACTGCAGCATTTTCAAGTATTTCTGGTGGAGTTTTTGTGAATTTTGTGGGTATGATTGCTTGCACTTCTTCTATTGATTTTGATAATCCATCATGCAAATGTTTCAATGCAAAAACTGACTTGTGGATATTAGATTCAGGAGCTTCACACCATATGACCTTTGATAAAATTCACCTACAGAATATTATAAATTTACCATATCCCTTGCTTGTTAAATTGCCAAATGGTTACAAAGTTAAAGTAACCCAAATAGGAGATGTACATCTAGCCCCTAAAATCATCTTACATAAAGTCCTGTTTATACCATCCATCAAGTTTAATCTAGTCTCCATTAGTTCATTAGCAGTACATCTCAAATGTGTTGCTTCTTTTTCTAACACTTCATGTCTACTGTAGGCCCCTTCACTGAAGAGGCCTCTGGATATTGGTAAGATGTATGATGGACTTTACTTTCTTTGTTCTCAATGTCTCAAGAAAGGTAGTCTTATTTCGGTTTCTAAGTGTACACTTCCTTGCTTGTCTAGTCATGCTATTGATATGAATGCAGTATATTGTCTATCCCAATCCCACTACCTTACTGTAAATAATTTTATTTGCAATAATAAAGACAGTGCTTCTACTCTACTTTCTTCTACCTCTCTCAGAGACAGTGTGGATCTTCTGTGGCATTATAGACTTGGTCATGTACCCTTCAATAAGATGAGAAGTATTCCTAATATACATGCATATTTCTCTCCTAGACAACCATTTATTTGTTCCATTTGTCCCGTGGCCACACACTCTAGACTTTCTTTCCCTCAGAAAACAACCAGTACTACAAAAATCTTTGAACTCCTTCGTATTAACTTGTGGGGCCCCTATCATGTAGCAACACACAATAATTTCAAGTATTTCCTCACCTTAGTGGATGACTACAGTAGGTCAACCTGGACACACCTTCTAAGCTGTAAAAGCAATGCTCTTCAAATTATAAAAACTTTTGTGAACATGGTAGAGAACCAATTCAAAACCAATGTTCAGTGTGTAAGGACAGATAATGGCCTAGAATTCACTAGCAATGAAGCTTCTTCCTTCTTTCAATCAAAGGGTATAATTCACCAGAAAACGTGTCCTTACACACCCCAAAAAGATGGGGTGGTGGAAAGAAAATACAAATACCTTCTTGAAGTTTTCAACGCACTTCTTTTTCAGTCCAAGTTACCACTGAAATATTGGGGAGAGTGTGTCCTTACAGCAACCTTTCTAATCAATAAACTACCAATTGTTCCTCTAAAGAATAAATGTCATTTTGAACTCTTGTATGACAAGAAACCAACTTACTCCCACTTGAGAAGCTTTTGTTGCTTGTGTTATCCTATTATGCCCAAATCCTTCAGGGACAAGTTTGAACCAAGGGCCACTCCACATGTATTTGTAGGTTACCCATTCGGGACAAAAGGTTACAAAGTACTAAGTCTAGCCACTAAGAAAATCTCTATCTCCAGGGATGTCTTGTTTCATGAAACCATTTTCCCTTTCACTTTCACTTTAAATGTACAAAATCTACCCTCACACTTTCCCGCATCTTCTTCTGCAGATCACCAACCTGATTGCACCATTATTTCTCCTACATATTCCACCACTGATGAAGGGGACACAGATCAGTCCACCACTCCTTCCTCCAGCACCACAACTCCTTTACCTTATATGTCACCCATTTCTCCTTCTAGTACCTCTCCTTCCTCTGAATCACAAACTCACACTTAATACTTCCATCTTCTAACATCACCTTCAACCACTCAGTCTCACCCTTCTTCCATAGAACCTTTAGCCCAAAGAAGATCTAGTAGGAAATCAAAACTCCCCTCTTACTTGAATGATTATGTATGTAATCTACCCAATTTGAAATGTAATTCCATTCTTTCCCTCAATGCTTTGTTTTCACAAAATAACCATATTAGTCCTGTTGACTTGCACCATAATAGTCAGCATGTTGTAAGAAATATTTGTCATGATAGAGAGCTAATTTCATATAAAGAGGCAGCCATGTATCCTGCTTGGCAGAATGCCATGACTCAAGAGTTTGAAGCCTTATATGCCAATAGTACTTGGGACTTAGTCCCTTTGCCAAAGGGTAAACAAGTCATTGATTGTAGGTGGGTGTACAAGGTAAAACACACAACAGATAGTAGCATAGAAAGGTACAAAAACAGACTAGTTGTGAAGGGGTGCACACAGCAAGCAGGAATAGATTACACTGATACTTTTTCTCCTGTGGTCAAGATGACCACTGTCAGATCCTTGATTGCCATTGCAGCTAAGAAGAGATGGCAGATTTACCAATTATATGTAAATAATGCTTTTCTCCATGGAGATCTGTATGAGGAAGTCTAAATGAAAGCTCCTCTAGGGCTTGAACTAGAGTCTCCAAACTTGGTCTGCAAGCTGAACAAGTCCCTCTATAGGCTAAAACAAGCTAGTGGACAGTGGTATGATAAATTGACTGAGGCTTTGTATACAAGAGGATACACACATTCCATGCATGATTACTCCTTGTTCTTTAAGAAGAAGGGTTCTTCAACTGTTTTTGTAGCAGTTTATGTTGATGATGTTCTCCTCAAAGCTTTCCTACATGATAGGTTCAAAATAAAGGATTTGGGACAATTGCATTATTTTCTGGGACTAGAGGTCCTTTACAAGGAACATGGTATTATTATCTCACAGAGAAAATTTATTCTGGACCTTCTGAAAGAGTATGATTGCCTGTTATGATTGCCTGCACTTAACCAGTCTGACCTCTCCTCTTGATCCTACAGTGAACCTGAAGTCTAAATAGGGCACTCATTTATCTAATCCTACTTTCTATAGAAGATTGGTTGGAAAGTTAAATTTCCTTACAAATACTAGATTGGATATATCCTATGGGGTCCAACATTTGAGTCAGTTAATGCAAGACCCTAGGGAACCTCACCTACTTGTAGCTTATCATATGTTGAGGTACCTCAAGAAAGATTCCACTTTGGGCTTGTACTTCAGCAATACATCCGATTCTTCTATCATTGCTTATTGTGATTCTGACTAGGCAACCTGCCCTGATTCTAGGAGGTATGTGTCTGGTTACATTATCCTTCAAGGAGACAGTCCTGTGAGCTAGAAGTCCAAGAAACGGGAAACTATTTCCTTGTCCTCGACAGAAGCAGGGTATAGAGCACTTAGGAAGGTGGTGGGTGAGCTGGTATGGCTGCACATGTTATTTGAAGAGCTCACTGTTCCTATCTACTTGCCCATACCTATACATTGTGATAGCCAGTCTGCTCTACACATTGCAAGGAATCCCGTATTCCATGAATGAACAAAACACATTGAAGTGAATTGCCATTTTGTGTGCACTAAACTTCAGGAGGGTCTCATTTCCTTGCATCTCATTGGCACTATAGAACAACTGGCAGATGTTCTCACTAAAGCACTCCCTGGGGTGAAGCATTCCTCTATTCTTGGCAAGTTGGCTGTGATTATCTCACCTCTAACTTGAGGGGAGGGGGGTATTGAGATTACTCTATATGTATAAATAGATGAGTCGGCATAGTTGTATTCCAGCTGTATTCCAGTTGTCAGCTTAGTTAGTTTAGTTGTATTCTTTGTTGCTTATGTGTATAAGGAGGACAATACTCAGTAATAGATAGTTTTGAATTTTATTTTTTAAATCAGAGACTTCTTACTTCTTATTTCTCTCTCTCTTCGAAATACGTATTCTAGAATATTCTGAATCCTCCATTGAAGGAGGAGTGGAGCTCACTCAGAGCTCATGATCTTGACACATTCTTGTCCAAACATATTACGTGAAATTTATAGATACACTTCAAAATAAAAAAAATCAAGCAAATTGATATTCTAAATGCTCCAAAATAGATAGTACAATAATATAATAATTGTATAGTAAAAGTTAAGAACAACACATCCGCAACACCAACAAAAAGTCCAAACAGAAAAGTTAAGTAATGCAAGCTGAAGAGAAATGCAAATCTTCAGTAGTAAATTAACAAGACTAGCTAAAATTCAGATAAAAAAGCTACATTCAAGAACAAAATCTAATAAAGGTCTATTGAGAAATACAAATATGAGATTCTCTTCAAGTGAAGCATTTTAGGATAATTTATCTACTCAACCGAAACAATGGTTCTACCCATTATTCTAACTAATATATACCCCGTAAAAATTGCACGGGCGTCGTATTTGGTCCCCCCATTTAACCTATACCTATTTTTTAAAAAAGTTTAACTTGTACCCACTTTTTAAACAACTTCAGGCCTTTTTCTCGTCTTCCTTCTCCTCCTTCGTTTTCTTCTTCTTCTCCTCCTCTTTCTTCTTCTTCTTCTTCTTCTTCTTCGGGTGACAATAATTTTATATGGTGGTTGTAAACATATTTTAATATTTTTTGTGATGTTTTACAATAGTGAGTTGTTATGACGCTTTACTTTTTTACTATTGCTTAGGGTTTCTTCTTCGTCTTTTTCTTAATTGCAAAACAGGTTCATTGGATTTATTGATGTTTTGACAAATTGATGATTGGGGTTTGTTCCTGATCATAATTGGAGATTATATTTCAAATTTGAGCTCATTTGGAGTAGATTTAGGTATTAAATCGTATATTGGATTGCTATAATTTGAAGAACAATTTTCTGTTTCTGGGCAATTTGCACTTCAGGCCTATTTGACCTTAAGTGCATAAAAATATTGGTTGCACTTCAGACCTTTTTGGCCTTAAGTGCATCTGAAGTACAATTTTTCACTTCAGACTTTTTGGCCTTAAGTGTAGAAAAACGTTTGTTGCACTTTAGACAGTGCATCTAAATTATAATTTTTCACTTCATACTTATTGGCCTTAAGTGTAGCAAAATGTTTGTTGCACTTCCGACCTTTTGGCCTTAAGTGCATCTGAAGTGTATTTTTTTACTTCAGACTTATTGGCCTTAAGTGTATGAAACCATTGGTTACACATCGGACGTATTTGGCCTAAAGTGCATATGAAGTGCAAATTTTTACTTCAGACTTATTGGCCTTACGTGAATGAAAACATTTGTTGCACTTTAGACTTTTTGGCCTTAAGCGCATGAAACCATTGGTTACACTTCAGACCTATTTGGCCTTAAGTGCATCTGAAGTGTAAATTTTCACTTCAGTCTTACTGACCTTAAGTGAATAAAAATGTGTGTTGCACTTCAGACTTTTTGTCATTAAGTGCATCGGTAGTGCAAATTTTCACTTCAGACTTATTGTCCTTAAGTGCATCTGAAGTACAATTTTTCACTTCAGACTTATTAGCCTTAAGTGCATGAAACCATTGGTTGCACTTCAGACCTATTTGGCTTTTAGTGCATTTGAAGTACAATTTTTTCACTTAAGACTAATATTTTTTAACTTCAAGCCCGATAAGTCTGAAGTTGATCGTAAAGTGGGTATGCTTGTAAACGTTTTTGTAAAGTGGGTATAGGTTTAATTGTGACACTCCAAAATCGGGTATAGATGCAAAAAACCTTATACCCGGCTTTACCCATTCCACAACAAGTGTTAAAGGGCCATTTTTTCGGAAACGGCACTGCACGGCAGCAGCCTGACGCCAAAACCACTCAACCTTATTTTTTTCCCTCACAGTTTTGGACTTAGAATTATTTCAGACTTGTCAAATGAAAGCAACGCAAACAATCATAGGTAAATACCCAACCTTTTACTATTCTCACAGAATTTACAAAGGAACTCAGTTGGAAGGCTCACATGTGCTAACTTGCTTTAGCCAACGAAATTACAAACATATAAAGGGGATGCCAATTGCAGATTACAAGGGGGCAGTTACAAAGGGGCAGTTACATCAGTGTGCTTGGCACATGCCAAACCTAAAACAAGCATACAACACTTAGCCACGATCTGAATCACTTCCCACGTAATGAGCCCATCATCAGCACTTTGAGCCAATTGTCACATGTGCAATGCACATGGATCAACTTCCACAGCATATGCATAACACACTTCTTCACAGTCACATGTTTTGCACACCTGTTCCATTAATTCGCCCACACTTTGTCTTTAGCTTGCCTTGCCTTGTCTTTTTGGACCATGCCTCACACATTAGCTTATGACAATGTTCTTGTCGCAGCTTTGACATTCCACTAATACTCACGCATGCCTTATCCAAGTGATATGCGTCTGCCTTCATTCGCCATAGTCGTCGCCCACAATCAAGGCTTCCTTGCCATCACTCAAGGCACATTGTCCAGCTGACCTGCTGTCACGACCCAAAACCTAACCCTTCGTGATGGCACCTATCACGATACTAGGCAAGCCGACATCTCCAAAACACTTTCAACAGTTTACAAAAATGAATTAATATATTTAAAATAACAGGATTCTTTCATAAAAACAGGGTAAAACCCAAAGCATAAGTGCGAAAACAATAGTCCGACATCGGGGGGTCACTGAGTCATGAGCATCTAGATATCCAGTCTAATAAGACAGCGTCTAAGCATAAGTATAGAAAAGAAGGAAAACATAGAAGGAGAGACAAGGTCCGCGGACGCCGACATCTACCTCATAGTCTCTGGTACTCGATCGCGCAAGAACTCAACGACCTCCATGATCAAACACACCTGGATTTGCACATGAAGTGCAGTGTGTAGCATGAGTAAACCAACTCATCAAGTAACAAAAATAAATAAGGAACTGAGAAGGTAGTGACGAGCTATATAATTACAGTTCCTTTTTAATAATTCCAACAAAGAATAGACATGCTTTCAAATCCGGCAGTTCAAATCAAATCAAATTCATACAGTTAAAGTGCAGGTAAATCCGGATATAGAATCTTTTGGAAATTTCATGATAATGACAGATAGAAACTAAGTGCATCAACAAATGAAAAGGAAAGCAAGTACAACCTCTCAGGGCAACAGTCACTCAACTCATCACAACAGCTCAATCACTCGGTTCTAACTCCTCAGTACTCACACTCAATAGGTGTTTGCGCTCACTAGGTGTGTGCAGACTTTGGAGGGGCTCCTTCAGCCCAAGCGCTATATCATTTCGGCATATATCCTGATCCCATAATATATAAATAGCCATAAGGCTCGTTGCGGCGTACAACCCAATCCATATAGATATATACAGCCTTAAGTCTCATTGCGGTGTGCAACCCGATCCATATACATATAACCCTCAGGCTCGTTGCGGCGTGCAACCCGATCCATATATATACCTATAGCTCACTACTCGGCACTCATGCCCTAACTCAGTCACCAACCTCTCTAGTCTCTCGGGCTCTCAGAAATCATAAAGATCAACCCAACAAAATAACATAGTGTATCAACAAGAATCATGAAGAAACTGAGATATGATGCGCAAGTAAA